GCAAATGTTCATATAAAAATAATTTATTTCCAAGGATCAATATCGCGAAATGCTGCTTGTGAGTACTTTAGCAGGGTTGATAATATAAGAACTTTCTACTCGGCCTGTCAAAACATGCTCAAGTACTGAATTAAAAAAAAAAAAAAGAGCCGAGACGACACTACTTGTTTATATCAATTATCTGCGTCATTAGACGATACGTTTTCAGTTTGCAAAGTTCACTAAAGGCTGGGTGCCCACAAAAACCAAACAGTGAGCAGTAAACTCGCGAGTTCATCTGTTCTGGCTGGTTCAGCAGATTGCTAATCAAGCTGTCGATATGCTTCTTTATATTCACGTGTTAGTCTCTTCATTAGTTTGTTTTTCTGGAAACTGGTAGTCATCGGGCACGGCTGTAAACGATAGTAATCTTCCCTGTACATCAGTCAGGAGTTTCTCAACCGACCATATTCAGATACATCAAAATAGTTGGTATAAAAGAGCCCGCAATTTAGGCTCAAATACACCTCGTAGTCTTCAGTGACTCAATACCACTGTTTCATTGGTTGTGTGCTACAAGGAAAATAATCGTATCACAAAATTACGCAAAAAGAATGTAAAACAGCAACATAGCCGCGTTCACGTTGAAACCGAAACCAACCAAATTGAAGCAACCTAATGGCGCCGAGTGCATCAGCGCCCTCTATCTGCCGGTGAGGCAACTACTAAAATGAAAAGGTCTATAGGCACTTAGAAGCTAACATATTTGTGAGACAACGAACTCTTCTATTTTAATATTTATCCTATTACGTCCTTCTGGCGTTGCGTTCGGTAAAGTGTTGTTCATATTCCGTATCTTGTTTAATGAAAACTTCTTTAAGGGTCTAATTTGAGTTACCGAAGGCTAGTTCAAATAAAGAAAGCTGTATTTTCTCCCCACTGTTCCTTCAATTGCTTACACGCCGAGGTGGCGGGATAGTTAGCCAGTTCTATTTGTAAGTGGGTTTGTAAGGAGGTCGCGGATTTTACAGCTACTGCGTCGGACCCAATTAGACGAAGTCCGAATGCGTAAACTTCGGTGAGGTAACCTTTGAGTGCACATAAAGCAACCATTCCTGGTAGAAATCCCTGAGCCTTACACTACGATGTATCCCGTTTCGTATGTGCTGATTTCAGATGTTTTATTTGTAATTTATTTTGATGTTGCAATTTGTCATTTATAATTTCCGAACCGGTTCGCAAACCGGTTCAGCGCCCCAAACCGGAACTGAACCGGAACAAAATTAATTTACCTGAACCGTAACCGAACCTGTATTTTTTTCGGTTTGACACACTGGTGGAACATTGCACACGTTCGAGGCAGACTAACTTCTTGCATCTTGGCACGAGGAAATAAGAGCATTTTAGGCTTGAATCAAATTCAAAGCACACAATGATTTTCATCAAATGCCAGTTGTATGACATACCAATGTTCCACTAAATTGGAACGTAGAGCCAACAGAAGTTTAACGTGCCAGACACCGGGTTTATATCACAAGCAAATGACGTTTTAGCGAACAGCGACGTTGAACGAATCGACGTCTCAGCGAATAATGGGGCCGTGTGTTGAAGGGGCCCACAGTCCTATTTTAGAGTCTACCTTTTGTGCGGTTTCCACATCTCTTGTGGTTCGGGCAACCCAGCGGGCACGGAAAGTAACTAAATATTAGGGCGTCACATATTAACCGGACGACGCGGAAGCCTCTTCCACTTACGGGGGTGCCCCGTTGTTACCGAACGCGTGATGCGACAACATTGTGACGTTGTTGGTCCTGGCCAGCTCCTGCCTTGTCCTGCCTTACGACTGATCAGAGGCACTAAAAGCATTTCTTTTTAATTGAAATACAAAATATAAGTGTTGCAAACCGTTCAAATTATTTATGAAAGTAGTTTCCGCTCAGTATTTTAGGTCAGAAAAGAAACAAATGCAGTTTAGAAAGTATGGAAAGAAGAAATGACCCCTCGACATACCTGGCACTAAGCGTTGGAAAAGGCGGCGCATACTGGAAAGGGGTAGTGGGATCAGGTGCCGACGCTATGGTGCCTCGAACGCGTCTCCGACTGGTGTGTTTACCGTGTCCAAAAAAGTTGTACTATCGTGGACACTGTTAGCTATAACACGGCAGCGGCGGCCGTCCCGTACCCCCAGCGCCCCATAGCAGGCGCCGTCCGAAACTCCGCGCATGCGCTGTGCGGCGGACTCGCTCTTCCCTTTTGCGAGCACACCCTCGCTTTACCGTCTGCTAGGCGCAGAGCAGGCGATGCTACAGTGCTGCTCGTCTGGTACCCTCGCTATAGCAAACTGGTCTCAAACTCATTTTCAACCGGCGATTTGTATTGGGGCAGATTGCAGAGTCATTAGGGCATAACCCCTGTTTAAGATTTTTTTTTGCTTTGTCAGAAACAGCATTTTTACCGATATGCGTTCGCAAACCAGTATGAGCGCAGCAGGTGTGATACAGAAATAGACTGCTATACTCCATTTCACCTTAAGTCCGACCGCAGCGTACGCTTCAAAACGACAGAGCCAATCAAATAGCGGCAAAGGTGCAACGTCACGGAGTGCATCCCCGGGGGACCCAATAAAGTGAAAAAAGTGCTTTTGTCGCTGCTTGGTGGGTCATATCGTCTCGTAGCGTCCGCAGCACTTAGACCTAAAGTGAAACGGATGATAACTGCAAGTTTGTCTCGTAAAAAAATATGTAATCTACCGTGACGTTACATTTAGTATACGATGATTATCCTTAGCCAGCGGAGTCAGGGAATCGACCGTGGGCACCTCATACGCGGTGGATCGCTGAACCATGTTCAGCGAAAATTGGCGAGCGCTGTAACGTCGTCTGCTCTGTGCCTAGCAGACGACAAAGCGAGGGTGTGCTCGAAGGCGGGAAGAGCGAGTACGCCACACGGCGCATGCGCGGAGTTTCGGACGGCGCCTGCTATGGGGCGCTGGGGGTACGGGGCGGCCGCCGCTGCCGTGTTATAGCTAACAGTGTCCACGATAGTACCTCGATTTCTGCCTGATGACGTCATACAAGTGTCATGCTGTCGCCGATTGCGACCCTGGCGGTGTCCCAGCAGCTGCAAAAAAATGTGGCAGATGCCTGTTCTGATGCAGGTCACTCTTCACTTCGACAGTCCACGGAAGCTACAGCAGCAGGAAGTTGGGACGCCTTGACAACAGCGACACTCGCCTTTGCTTGTACTTTTTGCCAGCATTTCTGCGACCAACCGCCTGGATTGCGACATGCGACCGCATGACACTTCGGCTTCTATGACATCATTTGTTGCCACTTCGGGACTACTTTTGATGTGTGGACAGCATAGGAGGCTAAACAAACCAGTCGGAGACGCACACCAGGCACCATACCAACGCGGAAAGGTCCCGAATGTACACGTGAGCACTGCGGTTGTACGAACTCGAGGACCGGAGCGTTCCAAAGGCCTTCGGCGAGCAGGTTCAGTTTACAGTCTGATAATTTGGCAGTTTGGCAGCGCAAAATGGCTCCCATTATGAAATATCTTTACCCCATGTTTGCTGTCGTTTGCGGGCAAGTGTCATGCCAATTTAGTGTTTAGTTGCACAGGAAATGCAATGCGAACCGCCGTGGCCACCCGCTTCATCCAGCCTATCCTGCACATGCTTTAGTGGTGCCCTCTCGAGCCATCGACACAGAGTGCGGCAGCCGTGAGCGCTCGCTGAGCTCACTACCCCTACTCTAGTTCACAGCAATCCAAGCCAGGACCAAGGACGTCATGAAGGAGGTTATCTTTCACTTCATTTTGTTACTTTAATTTGCCTATCACTTCTAAAATAAAGCAAACTTTGAGAAAAGAAAAGGTTCACTAAGTTACTACGTTCACTGCACTCAGGCTCGGTGCAAAATAAAAAGCACCCAGACAGTCGTTGCAGGGCCCCTTTCAGCCACCTCCACTTTGCGGCGGCTCATTACAAAAATGTGAACCCATCTGGCCGACTCTTCGCTAAATTGTCGTTCGGTGAACGCGGGCATTCGCTAAAATATCATTCGATCAAGTGAGTGCCTCCTGCCTGACTTTTATGCGCCCGGCATATAAAGAAAAGCGTTTCACCGCGATTTAGAAAACAAAAAAGCAAAGATGTCGCACTGTTGTTTGTATAAGACGCAGAAAGAAAAATGTTAAAAAAGAACCGCAGCTTATACACCAGAAAATATGGTATGTGTTGTCTTGCTTAAACATATTCGTCTCAGCCACAAAAAAAAAATTTTTCCTCTAACAAATTTATAAGAACTACTTTGCGCAGCGCACAAACCATGTGTTAATAAAGTGGTACTCCGGTGATTTTTTTGAGCTACTTCAACTAACTATATTTTCTGACTCCCCAGCCTTTACCCTTTCCGGTATGCTGTTTAGTATCGCGAAATCCATAATAGTTATTGTGAAATTGGCAAATGGAAATGATGCAAAAACCAACATTCAAATATACCCACACTTTTCAGTACCGCGACGTCAGTGGCGGGCAGGCTTGCCAGTCAAGTGAGCAGTCCAAAAAATAGAATATGCCAATCATTAGTTCCAGGATGGAGTGCGGGGACTGGAGCGAGCTCCCAAAGCATTCATTTGACACCATGAAACTGCTTCGAATCAGTTGGGAACAAATTCTACAGTCCAAAGAGTGAACCCCTGCCTTCCACTGACGTCTTTTTCCTTGTTGTCAGTAGAGACTTTCAGCTTAAAAGACACGGTGAGGACCAAAACTATAAATTCAATAACTTTGTGTAAAAAAAAAATTATTTTGACCTAATATTTGGGATACTATTTTAGCGATGTTTGGCGAATTTAGCAAAATTTCAAGCGAATCGGGGACCATGAAGAAATCGCCGGAGTACCCCTTTACGCACGCTTACTTCATGAGTTGACAAGCATAGTATGCGTGCTGAGGTTTTGATTTGCCTGTCTGATAAAAATCAGACAGGCAAATCAAAAACTCCTATGCATGCTTAGTAGCTATGCTCCCTATCACCTTCTGCGATAAGTGGATGCTTAAAATTGCAGAGAAATGCACATGTTTGCAAAACTGCGTCGCCTATGTCCGTCATGTTCACGGGGTACCCACTGTCCAGGATATGAAATTCTTTTATCCTCCGAATGACGCGCTCTATGTGCACCCGTGCACTAGCTATTTTTCGGGTGCTGTTGACATCTTCCTTGCTCATTTGGCCCTTGCTAGGCTTATTGAAAGGAGGCATATATGCCCTAACACCGGGTGGCAGAAGGTCAAAAACTTTAAAACCTTTATCCATCATGATTGCATCCCCGGGCTCAAGCAAGGCAAACAGACCACTCTGAAGGACCATCTCCCTGTCACTCACTGACCCGCCCCAGGCTTTTGAGACAAAGTTTATATACCCATCGGGCGTGGCACCAATGAGTACTTTCATGGTGTTCCCGTGCTTATACGGGGAAAATGTCTGCCGCTGAGCATTCATGGAGGACGGTGTTTGTATTTTAATTTCAGTGCCATCTATGACAATTCTTGTGTCGGGAAAATTCCTGAAGCATTTAGGCTGCTTTTCAGCCACCTCTGCAAGCGTTGGAAATCTCGTTATGTCCTTCAGTGCTTTCTGCAAAAACAAAATCCACCTAGAAAAAACTTTGCTGAACTGCGAAATAGACATGTTGAAATTGCGGGCAACTTCCTTAACCGGCATTCCTGTCCTGAGGCGCACAAGCACCATTAAAAATTCCTCGGCAAGCGTCTGGCAAGGTGCAGGTCCCTTCTTCGATTTTGACAGCACCTTTTCCAGGTGGCCAAAAAGAAGATAGAACACCCCACTCGACGGCAGACCAGTGTAATACTGGCAGTCCTGGGGGTCTTCCAGTGTATTCAGACCAAGTCCCTGCGCCTTCTTTCTCTCGTACTGGCCTTTCCAGTAGTCGGCCTGCCGCTGGGCATTAGCCAAGGCAAGCTCAGCTGCCTGAAGTTTTGCCTGCAGCAAACGTGTGTCCACACTATCCAAGGAGGGTAGTTGTGTGTCAGCAGGTTCTGCAGAAAGCATTTGTTGCCCAATAAAATGCGAGTAACGTATAGCATGTCCCAAGCGTATCATCATGGCAGGTTCATCTGAAACTAGCTGAATCTTACGAGACAGGCAATACAAGAAAGTACTACAACTTACGAAAACAGGGTGTATACCAGGCAACCATGTTCTACAGAGTAATTTGCATCCACAGCAAAAAAAAAAAAGAAAAAAAAAAAAGAGAGGGCAGAGCACTATTGTTTTTTTATGTTTCTCACAAAAGTAGGGCGCTAAAGTATATTAATCTGCCAGAAATGAGTCGCCTACACAAGGACTAAAAGCAAACAAGGCAAAAACAAGCGTCCCAATGCCCTTCTGGGATGCTGGCCACAGCATCTATAATGTGTGCAAACTCACCACTGTCGGTTGCTGACTGTATATGTTCTTGGAGCAAACATTTCTCTTGACTACCCGAGGAGAGCAGAAGGAGTGCTTCGGCAGCTTCTGCAGAGAGAATTTGTTGCCCAACAACTTGAGTAACACATACCTTGCCCAAACATATCATCACGACAGGTTCATCAAAAACTAGTTTAACTTTATGAGATACATGATCCAAGGTGCTATAGCTTACGAAAACAGCATTTATATCAGACGAGGTTGAAGGGTAATTAGCCTCCACAGTGGCAAAAAAAGAAAAGAAAAACCGCATGTCCACGTGGTGAATGATGTTGATTGGGGCGAAGCTCTGGTGGTGCTTGTCTGCGTAGAGACCTCTAAAATGATTTAGAAGGCTTATGTAAAAAAAAAGTGAGGTGTGCGAGGTGTTTTGAGTGGCACTCGTGCCTCAAGAATGGCAGAACGTCAACCGAAGTCAAGGAGAGGTGGGATAAAGTATACTACCGCTCTTCGTCTTCCAGCGATGTTCTGCCGTTCCTGAAGCGCGAGTGACACTTAAAAAACTTCGCGAAATTCACTGCTTTTTTACACAAGCCTGCGTAAAAATATAAAGCAGAGAATCCTCTGCTTTATATTTTTCGAGTTTGATGCAAAATCGATGTTTGCTCTCACTCTGGTTTGTAGTCTATAGTAAGGATTAATTTGGACCACCTGGGGATCTTTTGACGTGCAACCGAAAGCTCGGTTACACGGGACCTCCTCCACAATAAGCCTCCGTCAGATTGCGGGCACCTCGACCAGGATTCAAACCCGCCACAGGGGATCCGTAGGCCGGCACTCTCGCCTCGGAGCCACCGAGGCGGCTTGTTGCCGGTGTCGTCGCTTGCACCGCTTGCACGCGGTATGCCTTGGCAACAGGTGGACCCGGTGACAGCAAGTGCTCGTCGCATCACCTTGCCAGTCGCCTGAGAAATCGCTCGCATGCGGTTTCTACTGGATTTGCAAAAATGTGTGCTTCACGAGGCTGCTTTTTCTTTTTTGATCAAGGACAGCTACTAATGGGGTTCATTGCTTTTCTCGGATTCCGAAGAAATCGGCTGGGGAGATTATTTTGAGAGCTTATCGGTGTATACCAAAAATGCAGAATGCCAGTTATTTGCCCCACATACGTATGTTGAGACTATAAATTTTCAAAGAAAGATCGCTGAAAACTGTATCCAGCTTCTAATTCTTTTATTCAACTCCCGAGCATAGCAAGTATTTGAGACATGCACTGACGTGACTGACATCATATCATATACCTTCTGCTTCCGGTAGACAGACGGCAGCTCCAGGCTGATGAATGGCAGCTAGGACTGTCAAGTAGAATAGCACCAAAAATGGTAAACTGAATCAATAAAAAGAACAGTTTATACAGCATTTGGCCTATCAGCTTCAAAACAGGCTGTTAATGACCAAGCATGCACATGTATTTAAATTTGACTTTTAGGATAAATAAAAGATGACTGGATCTCGTGACTACGGCACAAACCATGCTTTCCGCGAAGGTCAGCCCGCTTGTGCCTGCGCATGACTCCATCCCGAGCTGGGCAGCCACTGAAGATTGATGGCACATGATCTGGGTGTGTTGACAACCGTGCTGGTTCACCTAAACAGAAGAAGGTAGCCACAGGTTATTCAATGGCTGCACATAAAAATCCAAGGAAAAATGCGGGATGGTTAATACCAGTTTTGGTGAAAACACAAACAATATATGAGCTATACTCGGGGTGAACGCTTTGTGGCAATCTGAAGAGGAGGAAACTTTGCACACAGCCGGCCAGTGCCGGCGGGCCGCGACAACCCCCTGAGCGCTGCACCCTGGGCGGTCCGCGCGCGCCCCCCCCCCCCCCCCCCCCCTCCCCCCTTTCCTTGTGACGCCACTGGTTTGATTAAACTTTTGTGATAAAACGACGTCTGTCCTCTGACTTTTTCAGCGCCATGCAGAGCTGGATCGCGACGAGGTGCGATCACAAGTTCAGCGCAGTTAGCAAGCTCTACAAAAAAGCTATAAAGTCGTGAATGTGATGTGATGTGACGTGCGGAATCGAAGACAGTCGTGCGATATGCTATAGTGAACTTACCTGTGTGGAAATGGGCGCCGCATATCCGAGCGTTGCGCGTCGGTTGCCACGGCGTACCGTCGGGGTTTACACGCCGGAGAGCCGCGATCCACTTCTTCCGTTGGCTCTTGTGCGTCTTGGACGACGGAAACCGGAAGAACCGCGCTCCATTCTCTTTCCCTCTTCGCTTGGAACACCCGACCGCGGAGCACGCGTCTGGCATTGCAACAAAACGAGAAAACGTTCCTCGCGCGATCCACACGAAACTCGACCTCGACGGGCGGTGGGGCAGCGACGGTGGCGGAGGAACGGCAGAGAGTTCGGTAGAGGCACCGTTGTCCTGCAAAGATGGCGGCAGCGAAACGATCGACTGGGAGCGAGAGTAGACACTGGTATACGCATGCGCAGATGCGTACTGGAAAATGGTCCATTATGGGCGACTGGCTAATCTTCTAAGGGGAGAATGGCTGTATCCGGGTGCACAAACGAGAATCCGAGAAAGAGGGGAGACCCTCCTTTCCGTCTTCTTGGACTGTTTGGTACAATGCGCGATTTGTGAGTTGAGGAGGAAAGCTAAGAAAGAAAATGTTGATATTCCAAGAACGGCGCTACTCCGATGTAACTTGCTACGTCATGTCTACGTAGAAAGTTCCCCAAAGTTGCTAGATTACTGCCCAAATAGGCTCCGCATGCGTCCACCAGGTGCACATTGAAAGATCGCTTAATTATCTTTAAAATTAGTTTGCTCGTGCCTTTCAACGCAAGACAGTTTTTTTTTTTTTTTTTCTGGTTATAGCTACATTAAAGCTATAAAATAAGCGCTGGAATTTCGTTTCCCCACCCCTTTAAACTGAACCAATAACCTAGCAGCTTTCGATACCGGTGTGAGGGTACAGAAGGCTGACCCTCTAAAGATGTCTTCAAATGATTGTCCAATATGTAGTTCTAGCATGACGTTACTTCCTCTACTTCCGCCCGCCGGCCGCCATTGCCAGGTATACTGAGAAGCAGACGCGGACGCTTTCGCCGCCGTGCGCCACTCGATTGCGACTTCGCTACTGTATTTGCATCGCCCGTACAGCGCGACGGCGAAAGCCATTCGCCATGAGTTCTGCCCTTCCTACTTCGAACAGTTTGCGGGCCCCAGATGGGCTCCGTATGAGTCTAAAAGGAAGATGTGCGACGGCGTCGATCTTTACATACTACGCGTCGGCGCGGACAACACTGCAGATCCGGACGTGCTGCCAGCGACGACGCACATGCACATAATTAATTGTCTGGTTTTGTCGCCGAACTACGTGTCGCTGTAACAGAGAAAGGCCTTCAAAGCCCTGGATGCCCATAACGATTTCACGAGTGGATGTGTGAAGAGTCTCACAGCGATGCGTCTCCCATCAAAGCGTATTGTCGTGCTGAGCGATGTGAGTTGACAGGCAAAAAAAACAACAAGCGTTTTCGTGAGTCATAGTGATAAATTGTCCCAAGACAAATTCCTGTTTGCTTAAACGTTGCACGAGAAGAGTAAGCTGACGCTAATTTAGAAAACATTTTAGTGCGTGTCAAATCACTGGTCTCGTCATTTGCAGCTTAACCACTCCCAGCAGCTGCGAGAGGCACCACTGAAAGCTTGGATCCTGGCTGACTCCGACGGAAACGTTGTCAACGCATATTGTAGCTGCGTGGCAGGGGCAGGTGAAGCCTGCTCGCACATGGGCGCTACAATGTTTGCCGTCGACACAGCAGTGCGCCTCAGAGGTTCAAGGACATTCGCCGAGAAGACAAATCTCTGACTTTCCGCACGCAGCCTTGGGACAGGATACAAGAGTCACAGGGATATTGGCTTCTCGTCTTCAAAAAGAAAAGGGAAACGAATAAACGGCATTCACGAAGGGCCAAGGGCTGAATGGGAACCCCACGTTCGGCCACAAGTGGAACCGACCGTGCCACCTCCACTGACAGAGGAAGAACTCAGTGTGTTCCTGCTCTCTTCATGGTGCACCCAATGTAAAGGCTGCACCGCATTTAAGCGATTTGGCGAGCGACAAGACTTTTTACTGTCGCTTGTCGCGTCGCTCGGTTTTTGGATTTCTAGAAAACGTCGCTCATCGCCTTGGTCGCTTGCTCCCGGGACACGTGCATGCGTGACGCCCTCCGGTGGCGAGCGATAGAGTGTCTGATTAGTACAAGTCCCGCGGCCCCGCACAATAACAAACCTGTTCGGGCGGCTCTTTACCTCTGCACGCTGCTGTTATTTGTACGTTCGCGTGGTCACGACTCAAAACATGTCACCCGTAGTCGTCACCGCACAGTGTTACACCAAGGACTGGACCTCGCCGCAATCTACAGGGTGAAACAAGGAGACGCCAGGCTCTTTAAATCGACCGGAAAATTCGGTTTCTTAACCTATCGCGCTACGACTTTGTGCAGCGTTGCCCACAGATGGTGCATCTTTTTGGTAAAATTTGCGAAGAGCGAACTTACCTGAGGAAAAAGTAAACAAAGAAAAAGGCTTAGCTCCTATGGAAACGCAGCGACGCCACCGGTCTGCAAACAAAACGGCTTCGTTTCGCACGGGAGACAAGAGATGGCGCA